CTGGAACTTCAGATGTGCATTAACTACTGTACCTGGCTTTATGTAGTTCTAGAAATTTAAATTCAGGTCTTCATGCTTATGGGACACAAGTGCTTTATCCACTAAGGCCACTTTCCTAGTCCTCATGAAAGTTTTTGCTACATATTCAGAACATTATTGTCTATTGACTTCCTCGGCGAGATAATTCACATAAAGCAATGATTCTAGGGGCTGGAGAGATGGCTCAGCAGTTAAGAGCACTGGTTCCTGTAGCAGAAGACCTGAATTTGAATCCCAGCCCCCACAAGGTGGCTAACAACCATCTGTAACTACAGCTCCAGGGGATCCGATGCCCTCTTCTGTCCTCTGTGGGCACTGCATAACATGGGTGCATTTACATACATGCAGGTAATACATTAATACACACTAAGAAAAAGCAATGATCCAAGAATCTCATACATGCTAAACATTCAACACAAGTTAGCTAGCTAATCAGGATTAGCTATGACAATAGCAAAGCATACCAAGATCTCAAATGACACCTAGCACTTATATTTCACTGATCAAAGCAGAAGCAGGCAAGGATACACCATCCTTCCGCATGTGTGGAATTCTACAAAAATGGACACAAGACAGGAGTAAAAAATTAACAGAACTGACTTTAGCTCATATTCACATTAGTATCAATATAAGAACCACACCTGTCCTTTGGATTATAAGCAGTAGTAATCTATTGCACACTGATTTCCAGCCCGACCAATCAAACAAAAACTCAAGACCAGGGCCATCTTTTGCTTTTTCTTCCTTGAGCAAATTATTTTTTATAGATGTTCTTTGTTCTTTCTCTATTTATTATACCTAAGCACCCCCCCAAAGGAAAACCTGTGTCTAAAAGAAAAGGTGTAAGAGCTACAGGCAATCTAGTCAAATGGAAATAGCACGTGCTGCATCTCTTATAAAGTTTAATCCATTTCATCCCAATTCTACATACTAATTTTTTTTTATTTGGTGTTTCATTGGCCTTTGATCTACTTCTGATTGTTGTAGTACTAAAAAGGTGGAACTGGGACTGGAGAGATGGCTCAGCAGTTAAGAACACTGACTGTTCTTTCAGAAGACCTGGGTTCGAATCCTAGCACCCACATGGCAGCTAACAACTGTCCGTAACTACAGTTCCAGGGGCTCTGATAGTCTCTTCTGTTCTTTGTGGGCACTGCATGACACGGATGCACTTACCTACATGCAGGCAATACACACATACACATAAAATAAAAATAACAATTTTTTTTAAATCCTTGCAAAATATTTTTTAAAAAAGTTGGAATTTTGTTTTTACAAGATCCAATACTGATTCTTTCCTAATTAAAAAACAAACAACAACAAAAACCTCTCAGTAAACGGAATATGGAGGGAGGGCTTCCTTGATTTGATAAAAAAAAAAAAATGACTATTTTTTTTTTGTTTGTTTGTTTTTTTGAGACAGGGTCTCCCTGTAGCCCCAGCTATCCTGGAACTCACTATGTAGACCAGGCTGACCTTGAACTCACAGAGATCTGCCTGCCTCTGCCTCCCGAGTGCTGGGACTATAGGCATGCGCCACCATGCCCAATACAAATGCTACTTTTAAAAGAATTGGGGCTAGAGGAATGGCTTAATGGTTAAGAGCACTGGCTGCTTTTGCAGAGGATCTAGGTTCAGTTCCCAGCACCCACATAGTGGCTAAGAACCATCCATAACTCCAGTTCCAGGGGATGTAATGCCTCCTCAGGCATTGCATGACACAGGTGCACTTACATACATTCAGACAAAATATTCATTTACACAAAAAAATAAATTAAAATGTTAAAATGTTAAGGGGCTGGAGAAATGTCTCAATGGCTAAGAGCCTGGAGAAATGTCTCAATGGTTAAGAGAGCTGCATACACCAGACTAGATGGCCTGTTAACACCTGGTGATTCCCCTATCCATATCCCATCCCCCCATAGAAGCACTGGGACCAGAGTTCTAACTTATCTGGCCTCACAAGTATTATGGGAATTCAATGAGTCCTCATGTTTGTGCAGCAAGCACTTTACCCACCGAGCCATCTCTCCAGTCCTTAAATTTCTTCATCCTAAATTTGTATGCAATTTAAAAGGGGTTCCACTGAATTCCTTTTTAAGATTTTTGCAAAATCTGCTACCCAGGTTGCTTTTTAGATGATCCCAGGTGGTTTTTTGGTCTTTTTTGAGACAGGATCTCCCTGTAGCCCCAGCTGGCCTGGAATCACTATAGACCATGCTGGCCTTGAACTCAAGATTCAGATATTCACCTGCCTCTGCCTCCTGAGTACTGAGATTAAAGGCATGCACCATCATGCCCCTCACTACAGATGATCCCAGGTTAATCAATTGCTATAAATGAGTTCCTCAATCTTATTTTCCCAAGAAAGATCCGAGGATGGGTCTAGATAAAAGCAGAAATGTATCCTGTAATCTGTCATTCTTTTTTCCCTCAACTTCTATTAGAGAATGCAATATTTTTTAAAGATTTATTATTATTATTTTAATTATGTTATATGTGTGTGCTTGTGTGTGGGAATGAACATGTGAGAGTAGTTGCCTGCAAAGTGCAGAAGAGGCCATCAGATGCCCTGGAATTGGAGTTATACGCAGTTGTGAGCCACCTGACGAAGGTGCTGGAAACTAAACTTGGGTCCTCTGCAAGAGCAATAGCTGCTCTTATCTGCTAGGCCATGTTTCCAGTCCCAGTGAATACAGTATACAATAATACTGAGAATTTAGCAGTTATGGGGTTGGGGAAATGGTTCAGTCCATAAAGTGCTTACTGTGCAAGCACGTGGACCCTTGTTCAGGTCCCCAGCACTCACAAAAAGCTGAACATATATGCCTGTAATTCCAGAGTAGGGGAGGTAGAGAGACAGGAGGATGCTGAGGGCTTGCTGGTTAGCCATTCTAGCTAATCTCTGAGCTCCAGGTTTACTTGAAAGATCTCGTGTCAAATAATAAGATGGAGAGTGACTGAGGAAGACATCTGATATCAACCTCTGTACACATGTGCATACAAGTATAGATGTACCTATACATATATGTGCACACTCATATAAACACATACACTACATATACATACTAGTGTATCATACATAAATAATTTACTAGTTACTAGGAAAAACAATAATAGAGACTGTTCCTCTATAATTTTTGTTTTTATTTCAGATAGAATCAGTGAGCAAACATGAAAATTATCCTAAAATTCTAAGTTTTTTGTTTATTTATTTTAAATATTTATTATTTTTAGTTTATGTGTATGAATGCATTACCTGCACATATATAAGTGCACCTGTGTAATGTAATGCCTGTGGAGGTCAGAAAAGGGTGTGGGATTCCTCTGAAGCTGTAGTTACAGATGGTTGTTAGCTGCCATGTGGGTGCTGGGAATCGAATCTGAGTCCTCTTCAAGAGCAGCCAGTGCTCTTAACCACTGAGCCACGTTTGTCTATCTGTCTGTCTGTCTATCTATCCATCTATCTGTCTATCTATCTTCTATCTATCTATCTATCTATCTATCTATCTATCTATCTATCTATCTATCTATCACCAATCTATCTAATGTGTATGAGTGTTTTATCTATCTATCTATCTATCTATCTATCTATCTATCTATCATCATATCTATCTATCTATCTAATGTGTAGTATGAGTGTTTTATCTATCTATCTATCTATCTATCTATCTATCTATCTATCTATCTATCTATCATCATCTATCTATCTAATGTGTATGAGTGTTTTGCCTGCCCACATGTATGTAAGTGCACCCATATTGTACAATACCCATCATGGAGGTCAGAAAAGGGTGTCAAATTCCCCTAGAACTGGAGTTAAGGATGGTTGTTAGCTGCTATTTGGGGCCAGAAAATGAATCCAGGTCCTCTACAAGAGCAGCCAGTGCTCTCTACCATACAAAATGTCAATCATCAATTATAGTAAATATGCTACTGTGCCTGACTTAAAATTCCAAGTTTTAAAGTAAATTTGAAGAAATTATATACTATAGATTAATTACCAAACATCCATGAGGTCATTAATTCAGCACCTGTTTGGGCCAAGCAGATAATCATGCCTTAATATGTATGATACCAGCTTCGGTAGTGAATTCATTTAGTACAGAGAGTGTATTTGTTGGCAACAATGAACTTTATTTTGCACTGAGTATCACTGTGACACCCTTTACCATGTTTTTCCCTAATGAAGATAAGACTATTTGCAAATATGGAATTGTTTTTACATTATTACTCAGAGATAAAAACAGAACAAAAGAAGCAAGCTATCAAGAACACAAAATTTAAACCCATCAGCCCTGAGAGTGCTTCCTAAACTGTGGCCTAGGTCTCCTTGCTCTACCTGTTTCCCTAATCCTACCTCTGACTTTTCAGCTTACTTGTGAATAAGGTCCAAGTCTTTTCCTGCTCATTTAAAATACATTTTTATTTATTTATTTTTATTTTTATTTATTTATTTATTTATTTATTTATTTATTTTTCAAAGTATAACTTGCAGGAGCCAGTTTTCTCCTTCTTTCATTGTGGAACTCAGGTCATCAGGCTTGGCACCAAGAGCTTTTACCCATGGAGCCATTTCCTTGGCTTTTTTTTTTTTTTTTTTTTTCGTACAAGGTCTTGCTAGGTAACCTAGGCTGGCCTCAAACTCATGGCACTCCTGTTTGGGCTTCTCAAGTGCAGAGATCATAGGTATACACCACTATACCTGGACTCATTGTAAGCCTTACATAAACAAACACTTATTCATTTAACTGTTTTTTTCCTTTTCTCCTTCTAATTTCTTAGCTCAAAAAGGTTAAACAAAACAATTAATTGAACTAAAAGCATTGATTTGAGGATTAGAACATTTATAGAACATAAAAGTAATGAAATACAAATTAGATTTTGAACTTCTGAACTAAAAACACCGATAAAAAGATAGAAAAATCTCTTTTGTTTTTGCTCATGAAAGTTATTCTTACCAAATAAAGCAGAAAAGTGTGCAGTCCCGTTCCAAGTCCAACAGAGGACAAAATTCCCAAACCTATCCAGTAGGCATATAAAAGAAACTGCTTCTCTATACGCTGCACATACTGAAAAACAAAAGGAGGAGGTGTAATCAAACATACAAAACTATGATTCAATGTAGAGAGTATGAATTTTATGAAACACACATCAGTCTTATACTGAAACTTCATGGGATTACCAAATGCTGAAGACTAGAATGAAAATCATTAAATCTCTTACCTGTTGATGTGCTCCTTCAACATAATACGTAGTTATAAGCACAGCAAGCAGCAGTAAAAAAGACACCACAATGCTTTGACGATGCCACAATCTTAAAACAAATTGAAAATAAAAACAGAATCTCATATTACTCTTTATTTGGAGTCTTCATTCACACAGCAATTTGATGAAACAGACTTTGGGATACAGAAAGCGATCAGTCAAGGTACATGGGTCCAGAACCCAATGATCACATACCCCACCATAGCCTTTCTCGTTGCTTAAAGCCTGATCTTGTCCTTATCTTCTGATATGGAGAGGTATCAGAGTACAATAGGAAGAGCGTTGACTTTCAAGCAAGAGGCTGGTCAGAGATTCTGTGTTGCCCTTTTAGCAAGACACTTAACCAACCTGATTTTGGTTTTTGCTTTTGAAATCCTAGTAATCACATACTTGTTTTCCTTTCTTCACAGAGCTGCTATGGGGATCAAAGAAGCTAAAAACGGTTTTGTCTTTTTTTCCCCCCCAGACTTTAGGCTTAAGTCTATATAAAAAGTTATTTAGATAATTAGAGATTCTGTGTTGCCCTTTTAGCAAGACACTTAACCAACCTGATTTTGGTTTTTGCTTTTGAAATCCTAGTAATCACATACTTGTTTTCCTTTCTTCACAGAGCTGCTATGGGGATCAAAGAAGCTAAAAACGGTTTTGTCTTTTTTTCCCCCCCAGACTTTAGGCTTAAGTCTATATAAAAAGTTATTTAGATAATTGATAATTTTTGATGATTTTGTTCCTAACCAGAAAGTTCTAGGGTCCAGCCTTGGAAGACAAAAGAAAAATGAGGAGGAACCCAATAGAGAGATGTTTTTGGAAGCCCTTGTCAAGAAATTCTGATGGACTCTCATATGAACATTTGAAAATTGATTCCCTGTTCTGACTTTTTTTCTACTTCCTTGTCTAGAACTTGTAATGCTAATTACTCTTGCCTTTACTTCTCCTTCACATCTCATATTCACCAGTCAAGGACTTTCTTTTCCCTCTAGAGATAAGAGTTATGCAATTTGGGAGTCTTTTAGATAGACCCACTGAAGGAGTACTCCAATTGCCTCACTCTGCGTCCCTGTTCAGCATGGACAAAGCCAGAGCAGTCTGATTCCTTATCCGCAAGTTTGGTTACCTCTTCAGAGGATGATAAGAATAGGAGGTGGGAATTGGCTAGGCAGTTAGGGAAAAAAGACCCTAAAGAAAAGTAGCCAGTTTTTTTTTTGCTAAAACTCACAATGTCCTAGGGTCTTTTAGCAACATACTACATTCCAAAGGCCAAAACTGTTGAAAGTATTTGGGAGCTTTTATCTAATCCTTGAAAGATTTTAGGGTTACCTCTTCGGAGGGGGGAATGTTAGAGTAGCCAAAAGCCCCATTAAAAAAAATAAAAGAAGAAAGAGTACATAAAAAAAAAAAAAGAAACAGAGGATCTTATCAGAAAAGATGTATTCTCAAGATATGTGAACCAATATTTTAGGACCAACTTCTCTTTTCCAACAGAATAGTTACAGAATTGTAGATAAGACTACACTCCTAGATCTAGCTTGCTATTATCTTTCAGACTGACTGTATAATAAATTAATATATGTAAATAATTCAGTTCCATAATATATGTTAAAATACCTGCTTTTGGGGCTGGCTCAGGGGTTAAAAACACTGACTGCTCTTGCGGAGGACCTGGGTTCGATTCCCAGCACCCACATGGCGGCTACAAACTGTCCTTAACTCCAGTTCCAGGGGAATCTGAAGCCTTCTTCTGACCTCCATGGCATTGCACAACATGGGTGCACTCACATACATGCCGGTAATACATTCATATACATAAAAAATAAAAGAAAAATAATAAATAATTTTAAAAAAATACCTGCTTTTACTAAGGGGAAAAAGAAAAGAATCTAAGAAGTCACTGAAGTGGCCTGAAACTTTTACGACAGTACTTAAACAGTTAAATGTTTCAAACTTGTAAGTGTTCAACTTTTGAATATCTCTACTATACATAAAGTTTGAGATGCACCACAATTTAAAAAAAAGTCTTTGTTAAAAAAAAATTTTATTAATGTGTATGTATGTATTGCCTGCATGCATGTAAGTGCACCTCTGTAGTGCGATGCCCATGGAGGTCAGAAGAGGGTGTCACATCCCCTGGAACCGGAGTTAAGGACAGTCATTAATGGCCGTGTGGGTACTAGGATTTGAACCCGGGTCTTCTGCAAGAACATTCAGTGTTCTTAACTGCTGAGCCATCTCTCCAGCCCCTGCAAAATGTCTTATAAATTTTATGTGCAATAAAAGTAGAAAATAGTAAAAATAATTTGGGAGGACAAGAAGAAAATGCTAAGATGTATAAAAGCACAACTTGCTCTCTGCAATACTTGAAACAGGGCTTACAAATCTAAGCTTAAAAACAGGACAGATTTTATGGTAGAGTTCTTTTTCTGTTTTGTTTTTATTGTTGTTTTGAGATAGGGTCTCACTATGTAGTCCTGCCTATTCTGGAACTCAGAGATCTGTCTGCCTCTGCCTTCTGAGTTCCGGGATTTAAGGTGTGTGCCGCCATGCAAAAATAGCTGTCTTGTTTTCACCGGCTCAACCTATCCTGAACCAAGTACCAGGTATCCTGAACCTTGTCCTGCTACTACCTTGGTTTATCTAAGTCTGTACTCAGGCCTGATTTCTGTTAAATGTAAAACCAGGAGAAAACAACCATTATCTTTTCAGTGTTCTCCCTTGAAAGATCCAACATGAGATAGTCGTCAATTGTAATTATTGAGCAAATATCAATACTTCCTCATCTGTCTTTCTTCAAACTAAATGTCCCAATCTCTTTCTCTTTTTTGCAGGGGGTGGGGGGAGGCGAGGGCTTGGGCGTAGAAGAGACATTGTCTCATGTGGTCCAGGTTGAGTTTGAACTCCCTATATAGCACAGGGGGACCTTGAAAATCCAGTATTTTTGTGGTGTTGGGGACTAAACTAGGGCTTTGTGTATGGAAGACAAGTATTCTAACTGAGCTACATCCCAGTTCCCCAGCTATTTCTTTTTAAACTATAGGAAGGAAAATAATGTTCCTATGATAGTCTAAATTTAATGAATCCATTTCAGTGGAACAGATGGAAGGGAGTAGGAGATGGCTGAGGACTTCTAAAATTAGCAAATAGAATTTATATAAAAAGTAATAGAAAACTCTTTACTTTGAAGTCCATTCCTTCAAGATTACAAGGCTTTCCAGAGAAAAATACTGCAAGGTAATGAGTGGCTGTCTCCACAGGACAATATTCTGCCTTTCTTCCCGATCCCTTTTCTTCTTTTCATTTATTGAAGAGGGGTCTGAAAGACAACATTATGGAAGTTAAAAACAAAATTCTTACATTTATGGTGTGTCTCTCCTTTTCTTTTCTTTTCCTTTTTTGGTCTTTTTGAGACAGGGTCTCCCTGTAGCCCCAGCTGGCCTGGAACTCGCTATGTAGACCAGGCTGGTCTTGAACTCACAGAGATTAGCCTGCCTCTGCCTCCTAAGTGCTGGGACCACCACGCCTTTTCAAACAGTAAAAACCCATCCACCACCTCCCATCTTACATGTCAAAGGCTGCACATAGGAATCTCAAAAGTAGAAATGTGATTTGACATCCAGGTCATGCAAATTTAAAGAGTTCAAAGTACTAAGTTAAGATTATCCTTTCTCTAGAGGATGCAATTTGTGGAACAAAATTCTAAAAAAGTGTATCTGAAATCTGTAACAGAAAGTCAAGAGTTGTGGTAGGTTCCCGTAACTTAAGCCTAAATGGCTTTTCATTTGTCTATACATCTCGCCTATCTCTTTGCATTCCATCAGTGACAACCTTACAGAGCAGTCTTTTCAGTCATCATGGAGAGGGATGGTTCAACGTATGAGTGCTTAGAAATATACTGGATGAAGACGACTTCCATCCATGTCCCAGGTAACCATTCACAGAAAGTCCTAGAGTCCTGAGAAATGGCAACTAGTCCAAGCCCAGCAATACTTACTGGTTTAGAAAGGAAATGAATTATCACAGTTGCCACTCATTATTTTGGTGCTAGGGACTGAGTCTAGGTCTTCATGCATGCTATGCATGTGCTCTTCCTTTGAACTATATACCACCAGCCCTAGAGTTATCAGTTTGTAATTAGTATTACTTAGAGAACAACTAGAACAACAAAACAAAACAAGCAAATGCCAACTCCCTTGTTCTTTGCCACCTCCTTTCCTAGATGGTATTCCAAACAAACACTGCTAAGAATTCCAGCAGTTAATGTGGACTAAGACAACCAATTTGGGGGAATGACAAGCCTAGGTGTTTCTGCTGCAATCTTCATATCACCTTTGTAATTCTTTCATCTTTTTGAAGCAAATCTACCTCTATGAAGGGACTACCCTCTATGAAGGACATTATAGTAACTTAGCATCATATTATAAATCTATGGGATTTAGAGCTCAAAATGTGGAGGCAAGCTACTTGGTTCCAAATCCTGGTCCGGATGCTTATCACTTATACAATGTTGGGTAAGTTAGGTAACATTCCTGTGGTTCAGTTTTCTATTCTATAATATAAACAGGGAACAGTGAGTACTTATTTTTCAGGGTCAGTATAGGGATTAAGTGAGGAAATACATGTAAGCTCTCAGAAGATTTTGACACGAACTGCCCAGTTAAGGTTTCTACTATTGTTATATATTTGTTACCTGTGAAACTTCCATTGTGTTGTTCCTTATTCATTGCTACACGTCTCTGGTCACAATTTTTTCCATTCTCTGCCATTTCATAGATCAGAAACTCTGGAGGAGCTAATACAGCAAAATAAAAATCCAGCAATACATTATAGTCTGCTGCAAAACTGAATACAGGAATAACATGGCATCACATCCCATATGCCGGGGCATGTGTTCACATTTTTATCCTTCTATAACCAAGAGTTGAACAATTTCTATATAAATCCTAGTACCATATAAAAGCTTCTGGTTGTGAACCTTTCCTAAATAATTATTCCAGTGACTTTTCTGGATTAAAATTTTGGAGCACAGACTAAGAATAGAACATACTAGTACCTTAATAACTGATAAGCTAGAAGCCTAACAAATCAATGTCATACGTAATTGGACATTTATCTTAAGTTTTTTTTTTTTTTTTTTTTTTTTTGGTCTTTTTAAGACGGGGTCTCCCTGTAGCCCCAGCAGTCCTGGAACTCACTATGTAGACCAGGCTGGCCTTGAATGCACAGAAATCCACCTGCCTCTGCCTTTGCTGGGATTAAAGGCGTGCACCACCACACCTAGCTTATCTTAACATTTTTATCTTTTTATTTTTTTTATCTTTCATAGTCATGTTAAGATCATTAGAAAAAAATGTATTATATTATCAGAAAGGTCTCAAATGCTGATGTTGATCCAAGACCACATCTTTATGTAGGAAACATAACTCAAATGATATGGATACAGAAGATAAAATTTTTACATGTACTGGGCTGGGGTTATGGCTCATTTGGTAGAGTACTTGCCTAGTATGCACAAAGTTCTAGGCTCCATCCCCAGCACCACATAAATTTGGCATGGTGGCATGCTTCTGCCATCCTAGCACTTGGGAAATGGAGGCAGGAAGATCAAAAGCTCAAGGCTAGCCTGGGCTACATGAAACCCCCCATCTTGGAAAAAATGTGGTATATTCAAATAATACGATATGATTCATTCATAAAAAGAATAAAGAGGGCAATCTGTCTCTAATGTCTGTCACCCCATTGATCACCAGGGTTGATTTGGCTGATTCTACTGACTAGGTTGGTCAGCAGACTAGGTTGGTGTTGGTATCTACCTCCTTCACTGTTTATGTGTGTTTCTTCCAAAGACGCAGGTGTAGTAGTCAAAAGGATGGCCATTCTTCAGCCAAGGGTATATAAGTAGCTGTACTCTCCTGTTAGAACCTCCAAGCAACCTTCAAAAAAAAATAGAGACAGGCATGGTGTCTCTCACAACTGCAATTCCAGAACTCAGGAGGCTGAGGCAGAATGGTTGCCACTAGCCTGCAAGACTGGGTTTCACCAAACAGAAACAGTCTGGGGACACAGCTCAGTTGGTCAAGTGCTTGTTGCATAAGCATGAAGACCTGAGTTTGACCCACAGTACCTATGTAAAAATGTAAAAGGTCAGGCGTGGTGGAGCATGCTTATAATCAGAGAGCTGGAGTGTGAAGATAGGCAGATCTCTGGGACTTGCTGATGAGCCAGCCTAGCCTACTTGGTGAGTCCCAGGTCTCAGTGAGAGGCTCTGTCTCAAAAACAACGTGGAGAGTGCCTAAGGAATGATGTCAGAGGTGGCTCTCTGGCCTCCACCTGATGATACATGCACATACATGTGTACCAGCACATGCATGCACACACACATACACACATATGAACAAAAAAGAAAGTACTAACTGTTAGGGTTCCAAACAGCAGCAGCTTCCCCCCTCCCCAACAGGGACCTACAGACTTTGGAGCCCAAAAAGGGAACTGAGTTGATAAGCACCTTGACCTTTGAAGTCAAGGGAAACAAACTCTGCTGAGAAGCAGCCTGCCTTTCCTCTGATCTCCAAAGATAAGATAAGCAGATTCTACCTGTTAACCAGAGATTTTAGAAGTTGTTTATCACAACAGCTTTTCTCTTATCTTAAGAGGGAAAAAGTAAACACTTCCAGACCCTAATCCTACCTGCTTTTCCTGCCTCACATTCCCCCTTCCACACCCTAAAGCCCCCATATATAAAGTCCCAGCTCACAACCCATGGGCGGACATCGTGGGCTGACATCTTTCCCTTCCCTTCCCTGACATCTTTCCCTTCCCCGAGGGAAACATGTCCCGTGCGAAATAAAGCTGTATCCCGCTGAGAATTCCATCTGTGCCTCGTTGCCTCCTCCATCCGCGCTCGCCCACTCTCTCCAACATTTTTACCTATCACTAACATATGCTACAATAATGATAAACTTTGAATATATTATACTAAGTAAAAGACGTCAGTCACAAAAATACCACAATATGATTCTCATTTGCATGAAATGTCAGAATAGGAATATACAAAGTACAGAAAGTAGTTGAGGGAAATGAGGAGTTGCTGCCAAATGATTGTAGCTTCTTCTTGGGATAATGAAAATGGTCTAAAATACATAATGGTGACAGTCAAACAAGTGTAACATATAACTAACAATCACTGAATGACTTGTTCATTACTATTTTTGCAGGTCAAGCTCTCATGCATGCTAGGCAAACACTATTCTTCTGAGCCACACCCTAACTGGACAGCTTCAATGGGTGAATCATGTGGTATGTGAATCATGTTTCAATGATGCTATTTAAGAAAAAAAAAATCAACAAGTTACTATCAAAACATGCAAATATATTTATAGAAAAGAATGACATACTTCTTAATGAATCTCTTCATTTTCTTTTTTTTCGTATTTTATACAAAATTTAACTCAAAATGAATCAAATAATTTGGAGAGCTACAACTGCTAAATTTCTAAAAGACTACATAGAAGAAAACCTTTGTAACTTAGGCTAGGCAAAGATTTCTTAAATCGATTATAGAACAAGTTCTATAAAAGAAAAAAGTTACAAAATGACAAGCTCTCAAGTTTCAGCCTCCTGATTCTAAAGCATGAAGAATTGACTTCCTTACTTATTCCAGGTCTCTGTCCTTTCTTTCTCATTTAAATTTTTAAATTTGTTTTAAATTTATGTGTATGTGACTTTTGCCTGCATGTATGTGTGCCCATGTGTGCCATATCACAGAGGCCAGAAGAGGGTGCTGGATCCCACGGAATTGGAATTACTGGTGTTGTTAGCCACCATGTGAATGTTGGGAACTGAGCCCATGTCCTCTATAAGAGCAGCCAGTGCTCTTAATTGCTGAGCCACCACTCCTGCCCTCTCTTTTCATTAAAAAAAGTTTTATTTGTTATTTTTATTTTATGTGTATGAGTGTATTGCCTGCATGTGTACAAGTGCACCCATGTTGTACAATGCTGTGGGGATCAGATGAGGGGGTTGAATTCCTTGGAATTGGAGTTATGGATAGATGTCACTCCCCATCTGGGTGCTGGGAACCGAACCTAGGTCCTCTGCAAGAGCAGCCAGTGCTCTTAACTGCTGAGCCATCTCTCTAGCCCCATAGATTTGTTTTTAAATGATAAGAATATGATATAGGGCCAGCAAGATTGCTCAGTGGGTGAAAGCATCTGCTGCCAAGCCTGACTACCTGAGTTTGATGCCCAGGATCAACATGGTGGAGAGAACTGACTCTTGCAAAGTTGATCTCTGACCTCCATACATATGCCTACCCCGCAAGCAGAGAGACACACACACATAATAATGTGGTAGTTTGAATGAAAATGTCCCCCATAGGCTCCAAGTGTTTGGACATTTTGTCCCCAGATGATGGTGCTGATTTGGGAGGTTTTAGAAGGTGTGGCTATCCTGGAAGAAGCATGTCACTGGGGGTGGGCTTACAGAGTTCTTAAGCCTTGCCAGATCTCTGGTCGCCCTCTTGCTTCCTGTGCCTGGTGATGATGTGAGAGCTTCACTTCTGCTCTTCCTGCTCCAGCCACCTCCAGCCACCATGCCTCCCTGCCATGATGGACTGTAATTCCCCTGGAACCGTAAGCTCAAATAAACTCTTCCTTCCTCTTGCTTAGGGTCAGTGTTTCTATCACAGCAACAGAAAATTGACTAATACAAATAATAAAAAAAAATAATGTTTTTTTTTAATTATTTTTATTTTATGTGTATGCGTGTACTGCCTGCACGTAGGTAAGTGCACCCGTGTTGTACAATGCCCTTGGAGGTCAGAAGAGGCTGTCAGATCCCCAGGACTGGAGTTATGGACGGTTTTTAGCTGCCATATGGGTGCTGGGATTTGAACCCGGGTCTTCTGCAAGAACCGCCAGTGTTCTTAACTGCTGAGACATTTCTCCAACCCCCATTAAAAAATAATAAAAATTTAAAAAGAATATGATCTAGTCATAGACTTGTTACTTTAAACTCTTGAACACTCTCTACTGAACACTCTCTATCCCCCCCGCCCCCCCCAGTCTCTACAGGAGACTACCTGTCTCCCTGTAGTCCCAGCTGGCCTGGAACTCACCAGTGTAGACCAGGCTGGCCTTGAACTCACAGAGATTTGCCTGCCTCTACCTCGGAGTAGTGCTGGGATTAAAGGCATGTGCTACCACAACCAGCTATATTCCTTTCTGTTATTGTTCTATTGAAGCAGGGCCTTCCTATGTAACTGAGGCTGGCCTTAAATTTGCTAAGTAATTCAGGTTGGCCTCAGAACTTCAAATCCTCCTGCTTCAGTCTCCTAAGTGTTGGGATTATAGGTACACACAATGTCTAGCCCTAACTGTAATTTCTAAAATTCATACCTTATACAGAAAAACAAATGAAAGATTACGATTGAACAAAGTATACATTCATCAGCACAACAGAGGCTCTCTTCATCTAGATACAATCCACTGTGACCAACTTTGCTTTATTGCCTTCATTTCTCAGCAAGTGAATAAAACATATTAAGAAATAAAGCATGGGCTTTCATTACTGTAACTAGCCTGGGGTAGAATACACAGTTCAAATGTGAAAATCTAGATGGCATCTCAGGTAAATCACACGATCTTGAGCAAGTTCCATTTCCTTTGGGCTTTAATTTTCTGGATTCACAAAATGAGAAAAAGTTGGTCAAGGCAGTGCAGGCCTGTAATCCTAATACCTGGGAGGCGGAGACAGACAGAATTGTATATTCAAGGCCAGTGGGGGCCACAGTGA